ACACTGGCCACACAGCTATGTAGTTATGTACACATGGCCATTCTCGATATGCACCTGTATCTAAGTCATGAAAATATAGCTGGCCAGCAACCTGGGATTAGCAGGTGTTAGACTTAGGATAAAGGAGGGTGATCCCCCTGTGTTTTAGCCCCAATAGCTGAATGGTTAGGGTGCTTCTCCTGGAACCATAGATTAGACATTATCTAGCCCCTTTTCCAGTGTTCCATTGGAAGCTGGATCACTGCTTCTTGCATTTACTAGTCAATGAATAAAATGAATGGAGATCAGTGCAATAGGGCAGTTTTTGCCCCTTTGTGAGCATAGGCCCAGGCTAGAACCCAGGCTTTTGCTCTTCTAAGCCAGCATCTATCTCACTGAACCATACACCGCTTACTTTGTTTTCTTCCTTTCATTTATGTCTCTCTCTTGGCTGCCCAGGGGGTCAGCTTCAGGGGTACTGGATAATGTGGTAATTGGAATTGTGCTGAAATATTGGAGTGATGCACATTCAAATCTTGTCTTGATAAAGGGAGAATTAGATCCTCCAGCTTCCTGAACTAGTGCCCTAGCCACTCAGCTGTTCAGGCTAAAACATGGGTGAGTAGTCCCCCAGGCCTTTCCTGGGATTTACATTCAAATATGCATGCTACACACTGACTACACAGTTATTTGGAAAGTGTGTAGCCAGCTGTGCATGCTCAGTCTACATATGTGTCTGTCCATGCATCCGCAGTGTAGGGGAAATAGAATTGCAACCTGTATGACCTTGGCAAAAATGCCACTTACATGGCTAGAAAACTGCCATTTAGATGCTCAGAGGAAAGTAGCATTCCAGCCCAGATCCATGTAAACATAATAGATTACAGGTTCTTCCTTAATCTTTTCTCAGCCTAACTTCAGGACTGAAATGGTGCTGAGGTTGTTTAACTTGTTTATCAAATAGTTAGGATTTATATAAAAAATTTCCCTTTAGTAGGAAAAACACTTGTATGCTTTTAAAGAAACATTGATTGGTAGCTTCCTCAGGGAACTTTTAAAAAACTATTCCATTGAGAAAATTGCTTCTGTTTGGTGGCCAGTTAGAATAATTTTCTGCTAGGATAACTTAAAATGAGTTGATTTTTAAATTCGGGTTTGCATGGACTGAGGCCAGATTCAAATCATTCCCATAAGTACTTAAATGTGGTGCAGATGGAATTTAGGGGTATCTTTACACCAGCGCTTCAGCAGCCTCCTGTGTCTCATCTATCAGAGTCCCCATGCTTAAAAATGGCAGCAGGGGCACATGAACTAAAGTTCGTTGAACGAGCTTTAGTTCAAGCAGCCCTGCTGCCATTTTTAAGTGTGGGGATGCTGATACAGGAGATGCAGTGGTGCTTAATTAGAGAAGCTCTTGGTGCCACTCTAATTAAAGCTTTGCTTTCCCTTCCCCCCGGAGGACTTGCCCCTAGGGGCATTTGAGATGACATTTTAAAGCGGGTTTAAAGCAGGTTAAATGCCTTTTGCACCACTTTAATGGCACTGCTGTTTGCACATTCGGCAGTGTATTACAAGTTAATTCCAGCCACTGTAGCACGTTCAGTGGCATAATGTACCTTAAATGACTTTGGGATGCAGCAAATGACTTTGGGGCACTGCAAAGTAAAACACCTCCAAGGAATTTTTAGTTTCCTACCCTACAGTCACGGAGGGAAGCACCGGACTCTGTGTGGCTCAGGCTATGCAGACAGCCCATGCAGGCAGCCTGGCAGCAGCCTGGGAAGGCAGGCTCCACAGAAGGGGAAAAAAAAAAATGGAGTGAGACTGATCTTTCCCCTCCCCCACCCCGGAGCCTGCCTGCCTGCCTGAGCTGCACAGGGGCTTGGTGCTTCCCTCTGTGGCTGCGGTGCCCTCCAGGACTGCCCGAGTTGGGTGCCTGTAGGCGGGTGCTGCCTGGGAGTGACCCACCACTGCTGCGAAGTGAAGCACCATCCTCCCAACCACCCCTTGCAGCTCAGGGACCATTCTGCCTGCCAGCAGCTTGCTCTCCTCTCCTTGTCACTGGAGAGGCAGGTAAGGATTGGGCGGACATGGTTACACATGACACGAGGGTTTACTTCGCCCTAAATTGAAGCAGTGATTTTAAAAAACTACCACTTCAATTTAGAGAGAATTAAACTCCCGTGTTGTGTACAAATGCCCTAGGTGCCTAATGCAAAACATGATCCAGATCAATGCTATTCTAGCAGTTGCACACTAATTAGGATTGCTAGGTGCCCCTAGTTGTGCCTTAAAAGTTTCCTAGGTGCCTAAACTTTAGCTTCTGAGCATCATTATAAACAATCCAGCTCAAGCAACTAGGTACCTAATTCCTGCCTAAATTTCATGCTTATCCAGATCGAAGCTAGGAGTCATATAAGTCTGTCTAGGTCTCCAGTCTGTGAGATGCCCTCTCACAGAAGAATTTTGATGAGGAAAGCAGGACAGTAGGGATAGAGATATACCTTTTGCAAAGTAGCCCAGAGTTAGAAAATTTCCACAGGAAGTCAGAGATTCCTCCTCTGCTTAAGGGGATTCAAATGCATATCTCCCACCTCTCAGGAAAATGCCCTGACTGCAAGCAGAAGCGGGGCAGCTGGACAGTCATGAGTGTAGAATTCAGGGGACCAGAAAGGTAAATCACAGTGATGAGGGAACTTCTCCGAGAAAGTTGAATCCTAGGGTTAAGTTCCTACTGTTAGGGTTATTCCTGAGGTTATTTCGGTTTAAAAAAAAAAAAAAAAGCAATGGCTGTCTAACGTGAAATACATAAATGGTCCAGTGAGCAAGGAACACTACTCAGGACTCCTCCCTCTGACAGGATCTACTCATCACTGGGGTACAGTCAGGCTCTCTTCTTTTCTCTCTTTCTGAAGTTATGAATCTTGCATTCCTGGATGCCCACTGGCCTTCAACAGGATGGGTATCCTATAGCCTGGTGCAGTGGTTTTCTAGCTGGGATGCACATTCTCCTGGGAGTATGTAGCATTTTTCCAATGTGTATGCCACTAGATTTTAATAATGAAAGTGGAGCTTCTGATTGGTCAACATGCAGTAATAGGAGTACTGTGTGTTGGTGTCCATGTTAATGTTTTTCCTGAGAAATGAATATGCAGATATGTGTTGGGTATTGGGGATATGAATGGCAGTATTTTCCAGGTAAAGGGATATGCAACCAGAAATGTTTGAAAACCACTGGACTAGTGGTTAATGCACTTTCCTGGGAGGTTTGAGTTCTCTCCTGCTTCCTAGGCAAGTCTTTTAACCATTAGGACGTTATGCAAAGGTACCCGTTGCCATACCACCACCACTCACTGTGGGTACCATGCTTCACATTGAGTCAGTGATGCTGGGGGTGTGAGACCCTGCTTCTCTAGATCCCAAATAGGTGGAGGCACTAAATAACTCAAGAGAATGGGGAGTACAGACAAATGCTATGCCTAGCATTGCCTATGGGCAGTTCTCCTTTGGAAGTACTCAGTTCTCCCTGTTCTCTGTATGATGATCCTAGACATCTAAACCTGTCAGTTTGGATTGCTCTCCAGGCACCTGAAAATTAGGTGTTGTACTGCCTAAATGGAAGTTCCTACAAGAATGATTTGGGTTTAGACTCAGGTCCTCAGGTAGACATGTATGACAAAATGGTTTATAATATAAAATCACAGGGTTGAAAGGGACTTCAGTGGTCATCTATCTCAATCCCCTGTACAGACACAGGATTCATGTTCCCTAAATTATCCCAGACAGATGACAGATACTTATCCAGCCTCTTGAAAACTGCCAGTGAAGAAGATTCCACAGCTTCCCTTGGTTGCCTTTTCCATTGTCCATTTTGAGATCAGATCTTTCCTGAGAGTATAATCTTAGATCTATCTTTTACAACTATTATTTTAGGGGTGATTGCAAATGAGGCATACATTTTACATTAAACTGAATTTCCCATGTTGATTTTGTAGATAATAGAGGGAAAATATCTTCAAATTACACAGCCTAAATAAACAAGTTGCATACTGAAGAGGCCTTCAAAGGTCAAAGAAGAAAGAAAATGTATTCTGTTCTCCCCACAACACCACAGAGTGGCCATGGAACTGCTCCTGGCAACTTTTTATAGTTCCCTTATGGTTGCTTTCCCAACACTTTATTTCTCTTTTTATGTTTTGACTGTAGTTTGCATTTCCAATACCCCCTCTGCACTAGGGGTTTCTTACATGGTTGTGCTGTATCCTGCATAGGTGACAGTTTTCCTGGACAGATTCCTGAAACCAAGCAATGAAGCAGGATTAGTTGCACTGTGTTCTGCATCTCTTTCTTCGACCACAGGATTTGTTTAAGAATGCAGTTGTCCAGAGACAGCTGTATTTTTACATACAGCTATCCTGAGACCCAGTTGTGTGTGTTGTGCATGCATATTCATTGTATGTTCAGTACAAAACTGAAGTGTACATTTGCTGTCTAAGTTGTATAATCAGTGTTTGTCACCTCTTTTGCACCTACCACACATGCTTCGAGACTGATGCCTAGCCATCATCCGTTATACTTTTACATACTGTGTTTTCTTAGAAAAACTACGGGTGTTTAGGTACATGCTCTGGGAGTGGTGGGGGGAGCACTTTAATTAGAGCCCCTCCACCAGCTGCTCTAATTAAAGTGCCCGGAGCATTTTGTATATCAGCATCCCCATACTAAAAAATGGCAGCAGGTCACTTTATCTAAAACTTGTTTGATGAGCTGTAGTTGAAGTGCTCCCGCTGCCATCTTTAGGTGCATGGACACTGATACGTGAGATGGTGGAGTCAGTTGGAGCGCGGTAATTACCATGCTCCACCAGACTCGGTTAATCGAGCCTGCTCCAATGTGCTGTAATTACAACACATTGGAACAGCTTTGCTTCTCATGTATAGGTGCCCACTATTTCAAAAGAATGTTAGAAGACTGTTTGTTAATCTAAAATGCAACATTCATTTTTATATGTTCATTTTCAGTTAATTACAGCTCATGAAGAAATGAAGAAGGAACTTCAAAATGAGAAATTACTAGTTAAGAGTCTGGTAAGCTTCTTGTGCTTTTATTATTTTTAGAAATCAAAATGTATTGCAAATTTCATAAAAATAGATTAAAATTCAATTTGCTGTTTTAAGCATATATAATTCAAGTGTTGAGTATATATAGCTGAAGGTACTGATTTTTTGAGGGGAGGAGAGAAGAAAAAAACTTCAGGATGTTTCTTGTCCAGAAGTAAAGAAAGAATAAAAAAAAAAAGTCTTTTTAATTTTGCTGTATCTTGTGGAGATCTTATGGAAGAAATATACACAAAAATGCTGCTAACAGCCTTTTTAAAGAACTTATTATTTTGTATATATAATGGAAGCACTTAGAAAACATTTAACAAATTTAAGATTATTTGGAAAGATTTCGTACCAGTGATTATAAGTGTCTTAGGATAGAGAGAGCCCTCTCTTAAATATTTTTGTATTCTGTCTTAGTCTCATAACAACACTGCCTTTTATTTTCTTTTTACATGATTCAAGAACTTTCCAGATGGCTGGTCCTTTATTTTATCGTTTGACTTTTTTTCCAGCTTGATCTCGCACTGCTTTCACACTGGTCACCACTAGTATGTCTTTGTTACAGTAAACTGGCTGGGTTTATTATAATAAAAAATAAAACACAGCTTGACTTGCAATCTAAATGTGTCGGAAAAGAATATGATACTGTTTTAGAAGAGAAAAGGTTGTGAATAGAAAATCAGTACCACTTCACTTATTTAAACATTTGCTTTTTTGCAGCTTGTCAAACTTTGTGCCAAGTCATAGCTGCTTTAGTTACTGTGTTTTGTTAATCTCAGCCCCATGTGTCTTGGGCTCTCTTGACAATGGGCCAAATCTTGCGGTTTTTACTCAATCTTTGACTTCAGTGGGACCTTTGCCTAAGTAAGTGTTGCAGGATTGGGTATTTACAAAGCTACAAAAAAACAAAATTTCAAGATTATGCAGGAAGTCTTCTTGAAACCAGTTTGTAAATACAGAAAACAAAGAATAAATTAACTTAAAGGCCTATAGTGTCAACAAAAACTTTTGTCTTGAAAATGCTTTTTACATTTATTTCTTTTTTCTCTTTTTTAACTTAAAATATAAATAAGATTGTAAAATTATAAATAAGATTTAAAAAGATTAATAAATAAGATTAAAAACATAAATAAGATTATATGAGAGTTAGGGATTATAAATATATTAAATCCAATGTTAGGGAACCACATTTTAAAGTTATGTCTCTACATCTCTGTATAGAGTCTGATCTTTCAAAAGCAATTGTGTTGCCATAAAATGCAGATTCATACTTGCTTTGAAAAATCCCAACCAGTGAATTTGTACAGACAGGACTGGAAGTCCCAGAAGGTGTCATTAATGCCTGATTTGGCCCCATCAAACAATTTATCACAGAAGATGTATGACAAGGAAAAACTCAGATTGACTTTCCAGTCAGGTTTAGGTAGGTGGGCTGCAGCTGGAACAGGATTTTTACTTGTAAATTGAGTTTATTGACTACAGAAATCTGTCAGGGAAAGTAAACACAAAGTTTAAGGATATCAGTTTTACTAAGACACTTTTCAGTGCAGAACCGCACTTGAAGCATTGTCTGCCTTATCTCTCTTCTTTTATAGGCATTTTCATGTCAAAGGCAGTTCATCTTTCTTGAATTTACTGTAATTTAAAACAAGATGCAGCATGAGGGAAGTGAAAAATTCAAGTTTATATAAAGTTCCAAAGTAAACTACAGGATTTGATTTTTTTTTTTTTTTTGAAAGCACATAGGGCAAGTAGCACTAATTCACCCAGTGGGCACATCTACCCATGCAACTAGCATGGTTCAGTAAACTCCAGTACAGTTTGAAGTTTATTGCTTCTGGGTGCTGTGTTTACATGTGTGCCTGGGACCTCAACATGTTGAGCCAGGTTGGAGCAGGCCCAGTTGGCAGGGGCACAGGGGTCAGCCTACCAGCCTGGGGCTGCTCTGACCCACCTCATTGTGCTATGGAGGGGCTGGCTGGGGCATGAGGCTGCTCCTGTGTGGGGCTAGTCAGCAGGCAGCCCATGCATTGAAGCATCCTTGTGCCCCGGGCACTTGTGTCAGCATTTATACATGCATCACAGCACATTAAATAACGCCACCACAGGATAGTACTTGTGATGACAAGTACTAACCTATGGCAACATTTATTAGTTTACTGTGGCCTAATAGGGCCACATGTGTAGAGGCTGAAATTTGACTGCAGAGCTAATTAGTTTACTTTGCAGTAAATGTCTCATGTAAAATCACCCAGTAGGCACATCTGCATGAGACACTTTACTGTACATTAGATTATTCTAATACGCAGTAAATCATCACCACCTATATGTGCACGGGACTTACTGCACAGTAAATTAGGTTAATGCACTGTTTGCTAGTACCAAGAAAAAGAGGTACTAGATTAAAGACACATTAGCTACTGTGCAGTAGCATACATGCAGGCACTGACTGGCAGCAATTTGCTCCTGGTCAGCCCAGACAGCAGGGATCCACTGCTGCCTGGCTAAGCCCTGATGTGGGGAGGTGGGACCTGTGCCAGCTCCAAGGTCAGCTGTCTCCCTGCCACGTGGGAATTGGGACCCATCTTGATCCCCATGTGACTGGGAGAGCTGTCCCAGCAGCTGGAATTTGTGTCCCAGCCATGTGGAGATCAGATCAGAACTCGATCCCCATGTGGCTAGGAGAGCCATCCCCACTTGGCAGGGACACTAGACTGGGCTGCTTCTGTCAGGTGCAGTTTGTTCCCAGCAGGTGCACATGTGTAGACATGCTAGCACTTTAATAAGCCTGAACTTTCTGCAAAGAAATTTTAGGTGCATTAATTGCATGTGTAGATGTACCCAGTGTATGAATCTAAACATGCATTAATGTCTACACATGCATTTATGTGTCTTTTCTAATGTGCATTAAATTTAGTACCTCTGGGCATTTGTATACATGCATGCAATGCAGCACTGGGGGCTTTTAAAAGTCCTCAATGCTGCATCAGGTACATTTGAAAAATGGTGAAATACTTGTCAGCGTGCAGCAAATGGCGGTGGTACACTCTTAAACTAAAACACATTGAAAGTGTTTTAGTTCAAAAGTGCACCGCCACCATTTTCTGCATGCTGATGTGCATTTTGCCATTTATACAAATGTATGTAAAGCAGCACCGGGTGCATTAGCTCGCATGCTCTGCAGACTCAGTTAATCAAGTCTGTTTCGATGTGCTGGATTTCCAGCACATTGAAGGAGACAGAGGTACATGTTTGAATGCCCTCCAATGTGAGCTACTAAATTAATGTGCATTAATGCGCAGTAGTACATTTGCATGCTTTTTTAGTGACACGTCATGCACAGTAGACTGTTTTACTGTGCATTAGCATAATGTCATGGTTTTTTACATGACACTTCAATACACAGTAAAATAGTGTACTGTGCATTAAGGTGCATGTGTAGACACACCCAGTAAGAACTAAATTGTGCCTCTAAGATACAGCCTAGAGCAGTAATTCCCGAAGGGTGTGCTGCAAGAGTAAAGGAAGCATGCTGCATAATCCCCCTGGGTGGGGAAGTATATGCTCTCCTCCCCTGTCCAGCACCCTGAGTCTGCCTGAGCTACTTGTGGCTGCTCCTCTACAGACTGCTGCCATCTTCCCCAGCCCTTCCTCACCTCCAGGCAGCCCCTGTTCTTGCCCCTTATTACCCCCAGGCTCCCAGCAATGCACTCTGCTGCAAGCAGGCAAACAGATGTACGGACAGAACGGCACTTTTTAACCTGGTTCATCCCCTGCACTCCTCCCACACTTCCAGGAGTGGCAGGAGGGGCTGTGGGGCTGGTCACTGGGCATATGAGATCCTGCAGGAGTAGCTTCAGTAGCAGAGGCTGCCCTAGTTCCCTGCAGCATAGACCAAGGTTTGAGAGGGGCAGACAGTGGAAAGAGCAGGGCATAGCAGGGTGAGGTCCTGCCCCTGCCATCGTGAAATGGCACCAACTGGATCAACAATTCTAAACTTTTTTTAGCCTGACAGCCTCCCTCCATATCTTTTCTGAATTTGAGATGTCTCAGTGATTTGAAACTGGGATTCTGTGAACTTCTAAAAAGGAATGAAAGGGGGCTAAAATAAGGCTAAAATAAGCTGAGGGCCACAGGTGGCGGAATCCTAGGGCTAACGGAGCTTAGCCCACCCAAACACAGGGCAGTGGATAGCACCACAGGGCAGCCCGGGGGGACACTTTGAGTGGCTCCACTCTTTGAGTAGCTCCAGCCCAATGGAGCTCAGCCCAGTGGCAAGAGGTGGCGGGAGAGCCAGTGGTGGAGATGCTCCAAGTGCAGCCCTGGCTCCGAGTGCAACGCCAGTCAGTGGCTCTCCCCTGCCTCCTGCCACCAGACTCAGCTCCATGGAGGTGAGGGAGAGCCAGGGGTGCACTCCAAGTGGCTCTGCCAGCCCCACAGAGCTCAGCCTAGCGGCGGAAGGCAGTGGGAGAGCCAGTGGTGGCGCCACTCGGAATGCAGCCCTGGCAAGCACAGCTCAGTGGTGGGAGGCTCCTCAGCCCCACAGAGCCGAGCCTGTGGTTTGTCTGGAACCTCCCCTCAGGCCTGTTCACCATGGGTGATCTTGCCAAGAGTGAGACTCCAGGTGACATAGCTCTAAGGATCATTGGGACACACAAGCCTCTCCACTGCTACAAGGTCTCAGTCCATGGAAAAGTATATATAGTAGTGAACAGGAATCAAAATCATTGTATAGCTCTTCAGCCTTGACAAAAGGCTTTTACAATTGATCTCAGTCTCTTTCTTTACTTCTCTTCAGTTTAGCATTGAGTTTAGTACATTTGATACCAAACTAACAGGATTCATAGGTGCCTAAAACTGACTCTTTGGCCTTTAGTCCCTAAAGGAACGATAAAAAGGATACATACTCTGATTGCCTTTGTGCTGTGGTTCTGTAGCACCTGGTGGAACTTCTATTATAAATTAATATAGACTTGTTTTATAGCCATATTTTTTTCATAGCACCATACCATACAACCCAGTAGGAAATATACAAAAGAAATAAGTAATACTGTTGTTTAGCTTAGTAACATGAAGTAACCTCAAAAGTAGAATTCTTTTGTTTTGGAAATGATGCAAAAAAGCATTGCAACAAGTTATAGGAAATTATAAAAGTATTGACATAATCTAATGTTCAACTCTACTGGGAAGGAGACAAATTTGATTTCCAGTCTCCCACTCTTGCTTGTTGGGTAGGAAATACATGGAAAAATAGCAGTTTTTTTCAACTTTCTTGTTGTTAACTTTAGCAATTCAAAGAAGCAAAGGAAGACATTGAAACTGAAGTGGAAATTAAAGTAACTAGTACAGAGACAAAGGTATGTAACTCAGCTTTATTACATAGGTAAGGTAAAAAGTTATTACCTTATATTATGAATGCACTATTTACACAGTACCTGTAATTTGCTTGCCACATGGTGGATGGTCTCTCCTCATTCTATGTGGTTCTAATTCAGTAAGCAGTTAATTTCCCTATCTTCACTAATAACTAAGATAGTGTCATTTTCTGATTTTTATCCACGTGTTTCTAGATGACATGGCACAACCTTCATCTTCCATTCACTAATCCTTTGTATAAGCCAGGGGTGTCCAACCTTTTTGAATGTGGGGCCGGATCATGAACTTTTTAGCACCCAGTGGGCCGGCGAGCCATATTCATATTTTATCACCCTGCGAGCCATATGTTGGACAAGCCTGAAATAAGGGAAAGCTGGCATAAACCCCAACCTGTGCTCAGCTAGTGACAAACTACAGCAAATGATGTCCTGGACCAGCCATCCCAACAGCTGGGGCCCCACTTCTGCCTACTACGGCCACCGTTTGAAGGCAGCCCCAGAAGATATTTGACAGCAGTGTTAAAATATGTGACCAAACCGATGTAGCCGGTGCTCTCACTCAGGCCAAGGGACCACCTATACCACTGCTTCCCCAGACCTTGCCCACACCAGCAACACCACTGCCTGAAGTCTTGTCAGTGCTCGGGCAGGCATGGCTGGGGCCCAGCCAACGTGTGAAATGGGAGATGGCGGAACTGCGGGAGCAAAGCCAGTTCCCAGCTTCGCAGGGTCTCAGGCCTGGTCTGCCCAGGGCAGCTCCTGGCGGGGGAAGGCCTCGGGGGAATGTGGGCCACTCCGCTCCTCCGCGCTTCCCTGCAGCGAAGGCAAATGGCCCCCGGGAGGGCACAGGCAGCCGCCACAGCAGGAGAGCATCGCCCGGCCCAGCCTCAGGGAGCAACAATCACCCCTCCCCACCCCAGGCTGCCCCCGAGCAGCGCAGCCCCACAAGCCAGCGCTGGCCGAGGCGGGCCGAAGTGAGGTGGCTTCTGTACCGCAGCCCCTTGCTCGCCCACCCACACGGCCCTTCTCACCATGGTGCCTGGCTGCCCGCACATGCAGCCCCGGTGGCCTCAGCGCTGCGAGCCCAGAGTGCGGGGGCTGGTGGACACCGGCTCCCACCGCCTCGCCCCGCAGAGGTCACGCCAGAACCCCGCCTGTCGAGGGCAGAGTTAGTACACCGGCGGGCAGGGAGCAGATTCAGGCTGATCTGGCC